TAGTAAAAATGCTTTTTGCTCTAGCTATTTCCATTTTTGCTAACGCAAGCTGTTCTAATCTCTGGCAAGGCGCTGCTAAGTCCGTTTGCTTTGCACCTGCGAGAAGGTCGCACGGAATTGTCTAAAAATAGCAACAATTGGTTGCCATTCGGAGTGGGGCGGAATTCATTTAGCGATAAGATAAATTGAGCTCATAAAACATGCAGCGGGCAGAGATAACGAGTGTAGCTGCTGTCGTTGCCCAGTGACAGGCACTCGAATTGCAGCCTGCCCGAATGTCAGGAACTGACAATCAGGCTGTCAAAACAAATTAAGCTCTGGCCCAGACGCACAGCGCAGTCAAATATTCGAACAGCAACAACAACAACAACATCAACAACAACAAATGTGTAATAGAAATAGAATTAAGTGTTTTACTTTCTGGCGTCGTACTGCGCGGGCTGTAAGCAGGAAGGCGACCCTCATTGAAGCTCAACCATTAATTGTTAAGCTTCTTCATTGCCTGACAGTCGCTGAGCAGGAAACGGTTAAACTTTTCAAGAGAGCGCGCATCAGAGAGAGGGTGTGTGAGAGAGAGGGAGAGGGAGAGAGAGAGAGACATATGTTTTGCCTGCCCCTACGCTGAGGCACGCTCACGCTCTCTCTCTCTCTCTCTGCGCTTCCTGCGCACATAACCCAGAGAAGGCAACAAAATAAGCTAAAAGCCGTGGGTAGAGTAGCGCAAAAAAGAAAGAGAAAAAGAAAAAATAAACTTAAAGAAATGAAAAAGAAAAATGAGAAGCGGAAAGAAGAAAACCAGACGAACGGCTAAACAAGTTAAGATTGCTTAGGCGACAGTCTCCCACGAGGCATGGATGATGGCGAAACGAAATCTAATTTTCCACATCATTATACTTTTCGCTTTCATACAATGCGTTCGATATACCGTTATTTTGTTGCACATCTATCTTCGCGAGCAGCACACACACTTACACACACATACATACAAAGGCTTTCCACGTTGGTTGTAATAAAATTCTTTTGGCATGAGCTCAAGGGGTCAAAAGTACGCACAAATTGTATATTGATATATATATGTGCGTGTGTGTGTATAAGTGTCACTCTCTGATGGTGTGTGTGTGTGGGTGTAAGTGTGCTGCTTCATAGCCGCCAACTTCATTATTGGCAATTATGTGCGGTTTTTATACGCGTTGCCCTGGGAACTCCGCACCATAATTCGTGCTAATAAAATAAACGCTTAGCGTCTACAACTTCGTCTTCTGCCTCTTCTTCTCTTCTCTTCTGTTTCTCCCCAATTTGAAGTTTTTCTTTTGCGCACATATTTGATGTTGGCCTACAGCTCAGCCACTTAAAAAAAAGCAGCGCACAAAGAGATGCTTAATTATGTTCAGCTGGCTCTTATTATAATCTGAAGGGCAAAGTCTTTGTGGGCAGGTGGATTAACTTGAGTGCGGATAGATTAAAAGGTCATCAAATTTGCAATGTGAGTGAAGAAGTTGTTGGAGATGAAAAACAGGGCACATTCAAGTTTTTCGTACTAAGCCGAAGCAATAGAAAAATTAATATAATTTTTATTAGAATTACTATAGATTTATTTACTAAATTTCTTAAAAAAAAAGGGAAATTGCTTTCAAAATAATTCAAGTTATATTTAATTTATAATAATGCAGCATTATTCTGCTGTCTCAAAATCAAATTTTGTTGCCCCAAAAAGTATGCTATATTTTTTATTGAGCTCAACTTTTATATTTACCTCTTATTTAGACAATGTTGCCAATGTATTTAGTAAGGGCGCAGCTCGAAATCGTTTGTTGTTGCTAGTAGTTGACGTAGTTGTTGTATATGTGTTGCTGTTGTTGTTTGTTAGTTCCGCTGATCGAGGCGTCGATCCGGCAGGAGGGCGGAAGGCTCAAGACGGTCTCAGACTCGGGCTGCAGGCAGACGAATCATGTGAATGATGTGTGTGTGTGTGAGGGCGTTATGCGTGTGTTGCTGCTTGGCTAGTGAGGCCTTTGCTTCGCGCTAGTCACACACATGTAATTTGAACACTTCTGTTATCGATTGGCGATTATCGATTGCCGATTAGCAGTTTCCAGGACGAATTTGCGGAATTTGTTGTTTGGCGCGTGGTTAATGGAATTTTGTGTAATTTATTTATTATTTAATATTCGTCAGACGGTTAGCGTAATGCAAACGGCATGAGCAATAAACGGATGAGAGCGCAAGAGAGCGGGAAAGAGAGGGAGCAGAGCGCGTATACGTAATATTAAAAATACAATGGTATGCGTAAATATTGATAGAGCGAATCTGACTGCTTGTATTCTCTGTGTCTCTGTGTGCGAGAGTGTATGCTGTAAGTGTAAGTGTGACTGTGAATATGCGTGTGTGTGTGAGTGGTTTGAGGGGAAGGACAAATTCGCTTTTGCTACTGCTCGCGCTGCTGCTGCTGCTGCTGCTGGGCACGAAGACGTTGGTGAAAGCAAATTCAGGATAGAGATTTTCTTAGAGCCGATTTTTTTCTTTGTATTTTTTCGAGCTTTTCTCCTGTCACACGAGCGCACACTGTTTTAGTTTGCGAAATATTTGGGGTATATTAATTTGTCAAGTTACTGAAAGAATTCCCATACATTTTGAACTCACTGAATAGTAATTTTAATAAGAGCAGTTGGATTTTCTTAGTGGGTCACAATGCGTAAAATCGTGTGGAAAAATCAATATCTAAGCCATGCACTTCACACGCGCTTTCACTTTCAATACAATTTTCATCTGATAAGCCAGCACTTCCTGCTTGCGTGACTTTTTGTGAAATTTTCGAATTATTATTGCAAAATTTTCAGCTAAACCAAATTGGCTTGGGCAGCGCTACAAATTCTGATACACAAAAATTGTTCTGGTTTTTAGCACAGCGCGTGCCACACACATATATGTGGAAGGAGAGAGAGAGCGAGAGAAAGAGAGTGAGAGAGAGAGACACATATACACATGCACACACACACAAATTGATACACACACACACACAGACACTTGAGCACACGCACAACACTTTTTGGGCCTTTCGCTTGGATTTGGTTTTATGTAATAACTCAATAGGCATTCAATAAAAAATATTCCAATTATATTTTCATTTCGAGCACACTTCGAGGGGGGATTATCTTGTGCACATTTTGTTGCTGTTATTTGTCGTTGGGCTGTGCAAACACTTGGCCCTTGTTGAATTTATTCATTTTTTTTCTTGCTATTCATTCACCTTCAGCACAGCGCTTTTCACTTGCAGTCAACTTCCACGGTCGATGTTCATTCGCGTTTTGGTCTACACAGCCAAGGAGCAGCTAGGAAAAAGCCCACAAACGCTGTTCAGCTGCCAGCAGCAGGAGAGCGAATCGGGTCAGGCATCGATTTTGTGTTGGTGGCCAGCGGTTGGGGCGGCGCGTCCATTGTAGACCAGAGCAGAGCAGAGAAGAGCTTTTGCAGAGAGTGTAGACTTTGACAAGCAATGGGCGAGCCGAGTATTACAAATCATTAATTTATTATTTGAGTTTAACTAAAATAAACTAAATATTTTTACATTATGTTTTTTATTATTTAATTTAGAAAATATATTGTTATAAATCTATAAATTTATATTATTAAACAAAAATAAAAAGTTAATAAAATAATTTAGTAAAATAATGTAAAAAATAATAGTAATTAATAAAGAAATGAAATAAAATATATGTCTATTAATGATAAAAAATAAAAAATTGTTTATATACATATATTGTAAGTTTTTAAATATAATGGCTATAATTAAATAATTCAAATAAAAATACTAAGATGGTATGGAAATATATTATAAATATTTCTTTAATATATTGTCTAAAATAATATTGCTAAGAATTATTACAACAATGCTTAGTCCAATGAATTTTTCACCAACTAAAAGCTCAAATATTACTCTAAATCTCTTTCACTCTCTCTCACTCTCAGTCTCTCTCCCTCTCTGTGACTTGCTCATTGAAAACATCTGACACGCAGCCACATGTTTCGATACTAATGGAGTCATGTTATGAAAACGTTTCGGTGCATGCGTACTGCCGCGAGTGTTTCTCAATGACAATGGAAATAGCTAGACGCATGTGGGCGGAGGTGAGAGTGGGAGGAGCTTTTGTCCTCACGTAGGCAAGGACATTGTTTATGTGTGGGTTACGCGCTTAGAATGGCTTTCCTGTTTATAGGAAAAAGCTTTTCGAAGCTTTTGCACTGCAAGCTTTCTATGTGCGTCCGTGCTACTGCTGCTGTTGCTGCCGCCGTGCAACAGATGGCGCCACTGCGGCTCACACTCATTGGCGGGCGTAAATCAAATAATAAACAAGCCCAGAGTAAGGAGATGCGAGAACTCTAATGCACAGACAGCATCATTAATGGGCAGCCGGCACTTCCGATGCGCAATTACGCATGGCAAACACAAATCAAAATCAAAATTCAAATGTGATATGAAAATCATGTCCTGGCAGCAGCCGGAGCGAGCCGAACGCACGTGATCTACTGCAAGGATGAGCCAACAATTATAAATTGTACATAATCAAATGGATTTGCCCAATAATTTCACTTATTTATAAAGTCAAAGCGACGCACACATTGTGCTGTGTAAATTTTTGGCAAAACACTATTTGTGCTAGCTGCAAATTGTAACGGGGCTCGGGGCAGTGGGGCGTGGCAAGCGGCAAGTGGAAGTGTGTGAGTGGGTGGAGCGTCATCTATGCACATCCATATTTGCATTTCGTGCTGAGGACATCAGCAGCTCAGCAAACAAATGTTCAAGGCAAATAATCTATAAATATGCCTGGGACTCGGGCGACGCATTGACAAGGATCGAGGGTCTGGGTCTCGGTCTGGGTCTTGGGCCCTAGCCAGGCACTGGCTGTGCGCTCGACTTGAGCTGTGCCAAGAATTGTCCTTATGCCGACTGCTATTTGTAGGAGTTCGTGCTGAAATCATTATCCAGTTACTTGTCATTAATTCAGCATATCAATTTGTTCTAGTTGTTGTTGTTGTTCTTCTTGTTATTACCGCTCAGTGCGCCCAGCCGTTAAATGGGCTGCTTATAAATTATAAATTTGAATCTAATTGGCCAACTAAGAGCTCGAGGCAGTTATTGTTCTGTCACTTTAACTTAACGTTTTGGACATTGGCATTGCCATTCGGGATAATTTAGAGGCTCTTCAGATAATTTATTGAATAGAAATCATAAGCATATAACACATATAACATATTTAATACTAAACGATATAGTCTTTACCCAGCGATTATACAATATATCGTTACATATAATCAATTATTGATTATATATCATAGACGTAACTCCTCCCAACATCTACAAGATCGGATCTTGATTTTAAATCTACTTATATAAAATCTATATCTGTTTGAGCTTTCTTATCTCAACTTTCTTTCCTCAATCCAGTAATGATTTCTGTTTATCCTACATCTTTAAGATCTTTTCAAATCCAATAATAAAATCCTAAATCTTTAATCTCAGTTTTTACAGCTGCTCATCTTGCTGTGCCCTGATTGCCCATGGCTACGAACAATTTGCTTTTATTTCGAAATAAATCAAATCCATTTCATGCTCAAGTTTTCCCTCTACTTATTACCATTTCAGTGCAAATATATTTATTTTCAAATGTATTTCAGATGCACCGCATGCAGCTAAAATGATTAAATAAAATGGCTTTCTGCGGTTGCCGGCAATCAGATTTAGTTGGCAAAGTGACGACAGTCGACGGACAGACAGTCGTTAGCAGTCGGAAAAGCAATGCGAATGCCAAATGCTGGCCAAAGAGTTTCTAGTGCATTTAATGCTTTATTATGAACAGTCAAACACGGGACTGTGCTAAACGGGAATGGCTAGTTGGCCAACAGCGGCAATAATGCTTATGGCCAACTGATTTATGCGGCTTTAGTTGCGGTTCGGTTTACGCTTTTATGGTCGACACTTTAAAGAAATCGCTGTTTGGATTTCAAACAAACAAAAAAACACTTGACATCAGCTGCATTTCAGAGGCAGCAGCAGGAGCAGCAGCAGCATCGACATCGGTACTGAAATCATCATCGGAATGCGATGGAAATGACCACAGAAATGCATAAACCGCTTCAATTGTAATTAAACGATTTCATATATTGCCTCCAACGAGAAATTACAAATGTGACCAGCAACAGCAGCAACAACAACAACAACAACCACAATAACAACACAACAGGAAGGGGAACACAACAATACCAATTGTAATAATCATAAAAGCTGCCAGAGCCGATCGCTCACTCAGGATACAACAGCAACAGCAACAACAAGAGCAACAATTAAATTAATGCTGAAAACAGAAAACAATTTATTTTGTAGAAAATGACGCAGCGTACAATAAATGAGTGCATGTGCATGTGCATGTGGGTGTGTGTGTGTGTGTGTGTGTGTGTGTGTATCCCGCACATTATTTCACATACATACATATATACATATCAGAGAGCTGCCAGGCAAATAATCAAATCACACAAATTTCAATTGCAGCCGCTGCAAAGTGTAAAAAAAAAAACAACAACCAAAACTAACAACCATATCAATCTGGTTATATTTGATATCCTATATCCAGCTATTATATTTTTTGACGGCGATGATTTGACCACAGCGCCTGAGGTGCCAAATTCAAGCAACAACAATTTTAAAAATTATTTCGAATAATAAAATGTTGCCACAAAATGCAAAAAATGTATATGATTAAGGAGTTTGTATTATTTATTTTTAAAATTTTTATATCAATAAAAATATGTTAGCCGAAAAATGCAAATTCAATTTATATTAAAAAAATGCCAAGTTCACATTTTTATTTAAATAATAATATCTAATAAAACAATTTTGCTCAAATGAAAGAATTTTATTTTTTATCTTTCTGATTTTATTTAGGCTATATGTATACATATATATTTTTAAATTGCTTTTTCTTTAAGTTAACTATATAACTATATATATGTATATTTGTATATATTTTGCCAAAAATAAATAAAAATGTTTATAAAACTTCTGACTTTTTTATTGATTTAGTTTTATGCTTTATATCAATGACAAAAAGGTGGTAAAAACAAAAATACATAAATTTATTTATTTATTTTTTGTTTATTTGTTTTTATTTTTTTATTATTATTCTTTTTTTTTGTTGGTAAAAAATGATGAAAGTGGTTTATGCATTTTTTATTTTTTTATTATTATTCTTATTTTTTTGTTGGTCAAAAATGATGAAAGTGGTTCATGCATGTCAAATTTAGTTTGTAAAACAAGTTCTTCAACTACATTTGGCATATATATTGATTTGCTGTGCTTTGATGACTGATTGATTGATTGATTGTTGTGGGAGAAAATATATATGTATATACCGGGTAGCCCAATAAAAGCTATAGGCAAAGCAACTGACATAAATCAAAAACGATTGGAGATATTTGGCTAATTTTATTCGTATTTATAAAATGTTTAACTGAGGTTTGATTTCAGCTATGAATTTATTTAATATGTGAATTGAAATATTTAAATATCTGTTAAGCTAAAAGTCATGTTCTTTGATATGATTAGAGTAAACTCAGATCCCTTATGCAAACATATATCCCATACCAAAAATATACGCTAATATCAATTTTAATTTACAGCAATTTAATCAAACACTTGTTGTGTATGGCTGCTGTGAGTAGGAAAATAAATGGAAGCCTACCTAACTTGCGTGGCGTCAATTGCCAAATCCTTTAATGCCACACACACACACACACACACATACACAGATAGAGAGACACACGCATAGAAGAAAGTGTGTTTTGGTTTGGGGCGCGTGAAACACGTCGAAGAAGTCAACTTTCGATGGAGGGGGGCAAATATAAATCCACTTTACAGATTGAGGCACAAGGGCGCGTGGCAGCAGCGATGTCGGCAGCGGCAGCGGCAACGGCAGAGGCAGCCCTTGGGGGAATTTCAATTCCTGCTTAGCACGACGACAATAAACTCATTGAACGGCAGCAAAGACAAACACGTGCCCCGCGCCAGAGTGCGGCGAGCGAGATAGCGAAGGCGAACATGTCGTGCTCGAATAATTGAATTCATCAAAGTTAACTCGCACAATTGTCAAATGCTTGGATGGGTAGGCAGACGTGGGCGCTGGATGGGAGGACTGCCTACAGCTGCTGCCGCACAACACTCGCCGAGTTAGTTTTCTAAAGTTGTTGCCTTTGATGATGGCGCACGGCTCAGCGGCGAGGGGTCGGAGGGGATGGCGATGGCGATGGCTATGTCTATGGCAGCACTTGCCCAAAAGAATAGCGTA